TCACACTCGTTTTTTTTTACTGAAACATATATTTAATGTAACCTTATGCATTTTTTGTGAATTAATTTAGTATTTGCAGCGCAAAAACACACATAAATTAACATATTTATGCTCCACACTTTACGGTACGTTAACAAAGGACAATGTCATTTACACGATTGGGGAATACAAAAAATTAGAAACACAATTTCGGAGCATCGCTGCGTCCCCTTGAGCAACCTTTATCGCTATACTGCATTAAATAAATCGTATGCTAAAACAATATTTCTTTAAATCGAGTCACAGAGGCGCACCGATATAAAATTAAAGTAAAAATGCCAAAAAGCATTCTTGAGAGCAAAACGTTATCTAACGCGAGAAGAACTTTCAACTTCTAAATAAATGATTATCATTTCCATAAAGTATTATGTCTTTGTAGTGTAAACAATAATTTAGAATCATTTCACGTATTTTATTTATGTATTCATCAAAATAAGTACTGATAGAGTCAAGTCAAGTAGCGTTATCGTGTCATTGCCATACCGGAAAATAGTTTCATTTCCAGTGAAAGTAACTAGTCTTTCTCTATCTTCTATGTCTCAAGTCTGGACTTGACTAACTAAATTCACCCACGTCAATTACTACTAGTTACTGGTTTCCATAATACGCATGATTTAGTAACTTGGTTTGAAATCATCCTACCACGTAACTACATTGTTATGTATATTTTTAATGAAGGCACTTACTTTGGAGAGCTCGATTGCATGGAGGTTGCCTGGGTCTGCGATCGTGCACCCAGCATTTTTCACGATGGCCAGTCATAGGACCAAGAAAATTAATATGCTTTACATTTTTTTACGCACACACACACCAATTAACTTAGCCCCAAAGTATGCACTATAAGGCTTGTGTAATGGGATATTAGGGTTAAGGATAGTATATATACTGATACAATAATTATATAGGTAAGTGTATTTTTATTCAAAACTAGTGGCCTGCCCTCGCTTCGCTTTGGTGTAAAGCTTTAGTGTAGACTATAGTTTTTGTTCTCAGGCTTGTATAATGAGTTTCTTCATATAATTATAAACCTTCCGTGAAAATTAGATATAATTACTAATATCATAAAACTGGAGTTTGTTGTTTTTATGGTTGAACGCGCTAATCTCAGTAAATACTAGTCCGATTTAAAATAATACTTTAGGTGTTAGATAGTGCATTTATCGAGGAAGGCTATGTAACATCCCGCTACGACCAGTAGGAGCGGAGCATCAATGTAAAAGGGATAAAAATATTCAATTTATGAGCTTCCGTTGCATACGCTGGATAAACGGATAAAGTTACACAAAAATCATGTATAACGGAATTGTTCCCCTTTATGAGTGGTATAAAAATGTTCACAACAGCATAATGTCTATCTTTTTATGGTGCAACATTGAATTAAAAATATTTTTGTTTTTAGTTAAAGAAAAGTTTACTAGAAAAAAAAATCCACGTGGACCAGGCAGTAGACGGGACTCGAACCCGCACCCTTCGCTATCCGGGCGAATGTGCAGCCGTTGGGTAACGTAACTGGCATCGACATACATGTTTATACCTAGCAACCCAGTAGTTCGCCCAGGTAAATAATAGACAACTCAACGGCTGCAAATTTTATACGTTTTATACTGTAAGTCAAGATAAAATTTTCTTATTATCTTGCAACATTTCTTTAAAAATATTTTTTTAATAATTAATCAAAAATAGTCTGTCCATGATTGTTTTAGGCCACCCATTTTTAATATATTTTCTAAGTTACTAAATTCATGATAAAATATGTTACATTCTATTTTTTGTTCATTGAAGTTCGATGTAGGTTCGGATCTTAGACAATTTAGGCGATATATCCTTTCTGCATACTTATGTTCTCTAACTTCATTGTGTTTACTTGAGTAGGTAATGATCTTATTTTAATAACATGGCCATTAATTCGTTTCCATGAATGACATGAATGTAAAAAAACTGTAAACAACTACAGTGCAACTTAAATTATGGTGCACTTTTCCCTAATCCCTTGCTTGTTTGTTGGTGATATAAATCCACTTAAACCATTTGGTTTATAATTCACCGCGCATTCAAATTATAAGGAACCCAAGGGGACTGTGTCATACATCTGAATATATTACATTAATCTCTTAAAAAGTAATTAGCACTTACCTGTTGGATAATCTGTTTTTTTTTAAATGTCATAGTTGTAGCACTTATGTTAAAAATGTAATGGAAAGTCCATACATATAGATACCAATATTAAGTTTATATTTCCTTTCGACTACGGACTCATTCTGCTTTCTAATAATAATTAATCCAAAAAAACCCTTTGAAAGCATATAAATATTTTTAAAACAATACATCATTTCAACCACACCTTTGTTTTCATTTACTTTTATAATAAATTTAGGAGTTTATCCGGTGTCATTACAATAAGCTAGCATTAAACAGCATTGGATATGAATCATAATTTCCAAAGAGGTACCTTACCCGCCTTAATGAAATGTCTCACAAATAAAATGCTCTCTTAAAGAAATTAAATGCAACACCAACACGATTAACGTTGTGGTCACGCATTAGTCAAAATTAATGCGATGAAAATGTTAAAGATTTAGCAATGAGTCAACAAACACGTCACGGAGCCCGTCGCCACGGCGGCGGGTGGAGCGGTGGCGTCCCGTGAAATTTCAAACGATTCATAGTTTTCAATCGTATGTCGCCAAGACGACAAGACGAGCCTATCGAAGCGCAAGGGCACTACCAACCTTTTCTTGAAGCGCTTTGACGTTTTTCGAACCATTATAACTAATGTTTATATTATACTAGGCGAATTTTGTATGAAACTTCCTGACGAGGAGGCCTTGTAGAGTTAGAAGCTTGGCTCTACGTGAGATCTGATAAGTTTTTGACAGTGCGATTCGTAATGGTCTCGTCTTCGCATCATTTTACATGAAAATGTTTTTGGTGGTCAGGTTGACATTTTAATATTTTGTCTTGGGATATTTGGATTTTTAGAGAAGATAATATTAAAAAAAACGACGGGTTGCACTCCGGCGGTGTCGGCAGAATTGAAAACTTGAATATTAACGTTGTGCATTTTTGATATTTTGGAATGGTTAGGGAATAATTTTGCACGAATTGCTTTAATTATCAGTATAAAATACTGTACTATCATTTATGTGGTAGAATACAATATTTACTTATTGCGCTATCGTACACAAACATGACAATTTATATTACATTAAAAAGTTTATCTCTCAGAAAAATCAACTTACATGAATCACATTTAGGCGCACCTAGCGACACCTATTGTAAAAAAATCACCTTACATGAATCACATTTAGGCGCACCTAGCGACACCTATTGTAAAAAAATCAACTTACATGAATCACATTTAAGCGCACCTAGCGACATCTATTGTAAAAAAATGCATTTTCTTCGCAGTAAAGCTGCCACCTGGACGTCCTAGATAGAGACTTATTATTCTAATACGATAACATAAAATATTACTATGTTTCGTCCAATATATTGAAGGTCAACAACCTTTCCAATTTAATTGTATTTGTCTTAAGCCACCTGTCCTGACGTGAGTTAAATTTTTTTTACCCATACAAAAAAGTGTACAACGCCGCTAAAGAAGTTTTCACTTCAAACATGTAAAGATCGTTTACTCTACGTTTCGTAGTTCATTTTATTACAAAACTCTCAAACTAGGAACGACTAAAATCGCTTGTCAAAAGTTAATTTGTTATTAATTTCGACTGAAATTAATAACAAATTAACTTATTGACTACTAAGCTATGTGTTGTACACTTTATGTTGAGTAGAATGTGTCCTTTCCGTTATAAGATCTAGTCCATTTAGGTTACCGATAGCCGCTTAGCATTTGACCGGTCATAATTATCTTCTTTGCCACCCTTTTTACCGCATGTACGAGATCTTTGTGGTATTGCATACGTCTATAAAGCTAAATGGTAGCCGCTCCGTTAGCCCTATAGACATTTGTAATACCCCTAGAGCATTTACAAATACTCTAAGGTACATATAAAAATTCGTGCGTTGTCTACTCTAACCGCATCTCTTACCCTATTGGAGATTGTGAAAGGTTACTTATTATTAGGGTACAACAGGGAAAAAATACTTTCGTGGGTTTCGTTCCCACGACATAACTTTTACTGTTTTTTGGGTTCCGTACACAAAGGGTAAAAATGGACCCTATATGTAATCTAATAATAATACAGATAATGAAACTGTCACCGGTGTTAATCTTTGCGGCAATCTTTTTTTTTTGTAGTATAGCAGTTAAGTTTCCAAAAATTAGAGTAATTCGTAATTATAAAGTTTCTTAATATCATGATTTAATATTTAATGCTCTGCCACTCTACATAGCACCATTATGTTTAGGTTAGACCAATTATACAAAATTATTCCACAGAATAATTCATTTATTCAATAGATCCTCTATCCTCTAACGCAATTAAATTTTTCATATGTAGAACAAAACAAATAAAAATCTATTCTTTTTAAAAATAACAGCATTGACAGCGGGCCGGCAAGGTGAGGATGGTTGGTGTAACAGTTTATAACTGCTGTACCAGCTATCTTCGCGTTTGGAGTTTATCACCACTTAACATCAGGTGGGGTAGAGTCATTTGCCTACCTAATCATATAAAAAAAAATTGAAATTAGATTCCTGAAGTCGCACCTGATGTTAGGCAACGATGTGGTCAGCACGCAACTTCGAGTAATGCCTATTTACTTGCCTCAAAGGTCCCTATATTAAATGTATAGAGTTTTACGTAAAAACACATAAAATAGGTTAAAAATCGCGCATCAACATTGTTATCCTTTTTAAAATCAATACCTGAACAAGTGCAAGGCTACGAGCGAGGACTAGCCGTGATAAACTGACGCATCGCGACGGAGGTCATTGTATCTAAACGATAAACGATCCGCACCGCGGGATGACTTCCTATAAAATGTTTTGAGACCCCCAAATGGGCACAGTGTCGAACAAGCAGTCGAGGTCGAAGGACGCAAACATGAAGCTGGTGAGTCCTCAAACGTTTATTGGTGAAAAAAGTGTTAGCCGAATGCGAAACAAAAACGTGACGACAGCAATATGTGTGAAAATTTTTTTTGGGCAGATAGTTTACCATTTTGCAACAATTTCCCATTTTCTGCTACGACACACGCTACAAAAATGCGTTATTTTATTTAAATTTCAAAGCAAATAAAATACTTTTAAGTTTTTATTAACTAAGCGGGAAGATAAAAAAATCAGAACGCCTCCACAAACACGTTAATGTTAACCGTTGTGAATTTAAAAATAGATAGCTTCATAACAATTCGTAACACAAAAATTGATTGACGAACTACAACGTCCTATCGTGTTTTATATTTCTTATTTACATTATTCATAAAACTAGGGACAATAAGAAAATACATATTTGAAAAGACTAAGTAAGGTAACACTAGTTTGTTTCGTTTCAGTTTTATATAATCGCTACCCTTGCAGTAATTGCATTCGCCGAAAACATTGATGAAAGCGAAATAGCCGATTCAGAAGCGGCGGCAACTGTCGAACTTTTAAAAGAGTCCAGGGAATCGTTGGAGCCAGCGGCCAGCGCCTACAACTATGTCCAATACCCGCAACAGAACGCAGTAAATGCTGTTGCCAGTACAAACAACGCATACGCCCAAGCGAAATACTACGCACCTCCTTCGAACAGCTATGTGCCACCGACAAATAATTATGTGCCACCGACAAATAATTACGTGCCGCCCTCGAATAATTACGTGCCGCCCTCAAACAATTATGTGCCGCCCAGTAATAATTATGTTCCACCCTCAAATAACTATGTGCCACCTCAGAATACTTACGTGCCACCTCAGAATACTTACGTGCCACCTCAGAATACTTATGTGCCACCTCAGAACTACTATCCTTCAAGCACTTGGGCTCCCGCTGCCACTTATCCCACAACAACTACACCAAGCCCCGTTATCAAGAACGAGCTTGTTTACGGTGACAACGGCAGTTATAAATACGAGTGAGTAACTATAACATTTTAATTATAATTTGTCGCTTATTTATCAACAATCAGAAAATTAAATGCACAACGGTGATTTTGACGACTTTCTCGTATTAAGAGTTAACGTTAAATAGGCGGAAAAACTAAATTAAGTACCATTAATTAAGCAGTTATTAATGTATATTTATGCAAAACTGTGAGAGCATATACTTTAGTAGCGAGCGAACTGATCAAAGTTGGCAACAGGTGAATGAGTTGCGGAGTTCTGAATTTAGCAGCTTTTTAACGTCTATTATCAGCAAATTACAAAAAACTATTGACAGTTAAATTATACTGGATAATTTTTGCAGGAACTTTTTATTTTGACGTCTCTGTAAGTAAAAAGTAGCCTTTGAGAACCTTTTTGTTTTTTCACATTATTTTTGGAATTGAACAATTAAAATCATTTATTCACTCTAGGTTAACACAAGCATTTCTAAAAGCAAAAAAGCTAAGTAAGATGATGTGAAAAAAACAATAAGGTTATCAAAGGCTACTTTTTACTTACAGAGACGTCAAATTAAAAAGTTCCTGAAAAAATTATCCAGTATAATTTAACTGTTAATAGCATAAAACTAAAGAAAATAGACAAATAATAAATAGACTTACTTCTAACTCACATATCAATAAATTTTTAATAGAAAAGTTTAATTGAATACCAACCAACTAGTCTTTTAACCTAGATGTAAACGTGGTACTAAATATAACTATTAAAATAACAGTTATCATTTTTGTCTAAAGTTTTCATGGTCATTAATATCAACTTAATTAGCGGTCGACTATCTGCCATGTAATGGGGATTGACAAAAAAAGGTAGCAATTCCGCTGATAACTCTAAAAAATAAAATGTTGATTTATCAAGAGCATTTTTGTTTTTCCTAAAAGGTACCAAATCGCCGACGGCACTCATGTAGGCGAGGAAGGTTACTACACTGACCCGAAGGGCACCGATGAAAGCCTCGTCAAGAAGGGGTGGTATTCCTACCCTGGGCAAGACGGCAAGATCTACACTGTCACTTACTGGGCTGACCACACAGGATACCATGCGACTGGTGATCATATTCCTACCCCTCCACCCGTGCCGCCTGCGATCCAAGCGTAAGTGTTTTTCAGTTCTGTAGACCTTATTTCCACTAAGCGGCGATTTCTATTTATTCAGAACATCCGACGACCTCCATGGTCGAGTGGTTTGTACGCCAGATTTCAAGGTGACTCCTACTCGAGAGGTCCCGGGTTCGAATCCCGGTGGGGCCACACGTTTGTGTGATGAATACGAGCAATTTGTACTCCAGTCATGGATTATTATATATTTATATATAAATATACTTAGATATATATTCTATCCGTTACCCTAGTACCCCATATCACAAGCCTACGGTGCTTACTTTGGGGCTAGGCTAATTAGTATGAGTGTTGGTAATATTTATATATATATATGAAGATAGTCATATATCAATTTCCATTGACGCGGCCACGACTCGGCAGTCGCCGCAACTGCAAAACAACAACAAAAATTACCTTTTGTAGTACGGTCGCTTAACAATGGATGAATCCAAAATCTATGTATTCGTTTTATTTTTGTTAACAAGTAAAGACATGTTATTTGTTCCGACATCCGTACCATAGTAAACTAGAATCAGTCACTACAAAGCTAGCCGCTAGCGGCTGTAGCCAACTAAAGGCGAAATTGACGACCTCCATAACAGAGTGGGATTATGTAAAGCGATTTTCAAGATGTCACCAACTCTAAGGTTTTGGCTTTGAATCCCAGTAGGTAAAAACGTTTTAATAATGAATACGAGTATATGTATCTGGCTTTTGGTACCTGATTCTTCAACTAATCATACAATAATATACTTATATACTAGCGGCCGCCCGCGTGGAGTTATTTATTTGTACATACTTTTTGACCCCTGTTCACTGCTCGTTCCCCGTAGGTGATAGTGTGATAATATGTAGCCTATATGTTGACACGACTTCTCAATAATATTCGTGCCAAAGGACATTGCTCGTTCCCCATACATTGAATGCCCTAGAACGCCCAGCAATGAGAAAATGCTAGTTGTGTTCGGAATCATTCATAAACTCTAAATAAGTATTTGTTGAGATACGGACAACTTGAGGAATCGTGGCCTACTACAGAATGTATTAGATTTTGAGGTTATAATTATTATACTTAATCATAAAAGATGTACACTTTATATATTCTGAATAGATTTAGTGTTTACCCCTATGTAAGCACATAAATAATATGCATTAAATGAACATAAAATGCAATTTATAATAAAAATAATAAATGCTTATATTCATATTGATTTTACCTTTAGGTCCGTGCCTGTAGTAAGTAATGATAGATTTCTTTTCAAATGAAATGTTCAGTCTTTCCATTTAACTGTTTCTATATTTTACTAACGATAATTAGGTATGTACCTGGTTATCATTATGATTTTCATAAAAATAAACAGATATTACATGGGATGGGAGTATAAACTATCTTTAGATAATTTCAGAAATAATCTTTTTATAAATATAATATAAATACTAGTAATAAGTATTATTAACTAAGGTACCTAGTTCTATTTTTATGTTGATAAATACCTATGGTCGCCTATATTGCATAACTAAGGTAAACAATCTTGGCACAACTTTTTAACAGAATCACCCATTTAATAATAAAATATTAACGAAGAAAATAAACTATTAAAATAAATCGTTATTATAGACTGAAACCTATTGAATCCAGTTATCAGTTGATTTTTAATGCTGTATTTTCAATAAAAAGGAGTGCCAAGTTAGATGAACAGACTGTAGTATCTAGTAACAGAACTTTTATTTTTTAAACAGATTGTCCGTTTACTATGATTAATTGCTAATAAGTTAAAAAAATAATAGAAAAATAATAGTGAAGGACATTCTTTTGGGCATGCTAGGGCCGAATTCGTAGATGTCCTTTGAAGTAAATCCACGCAGAACTTTTTGAGTTTATCCCGGACAAACAAACAAAAATTCTAAAAACTATATTTTTGACTTCGATATCGACTGTAGATCACATCCCAAGTATTCTTTTAAAAGTATATTCAATGTACAGTTTTGACTTTCCTACCATTTTATTATATGTATAGATTTCTAACATTTCATGTATTTCTATCCGTTACCCTAGTATCCCTTATATATACAAGAATTACAGTGCCTACTTTAGGGCTAGGCTAATTGATGTGAGTGTAATAAAGCCATTCTGCTATATGTTGTACTCTTTCAACATCATTTACCTTCAAAACCACCAAAAATATGATACTCCAACCTAATAATAAAACCGAGAATAGAATACCTCAAATAAAAAAATAAGTAAGGATAAACAGTGCTTCTCCGAAATTCCGAGCTAGACTGCAATAATCTAGTAACACAGCTTTTAAGGTCATCGACATGAGAGTAAAGATTTCCTACAAAAAGACGAGATTTTGTTACGGAAAGGACACACCCTACCCGTCATGAAGTATATACAATATACACACGGAAATTCATAAAAAATAACGTGTTAACTTTTGACAAGTGATATTAGTCATTCCTAGTTTGAGAGTTTACATAGAATAAAAAATACGAAACGCGAAGGGAACGCCCTTTACAATATTTCTTTAGATCCATAAATCCCTAGACAAAACATTAAACGATCAATCCGACCACCAATTGCATTTTCGCATAAGAAGTTGTCAAGACGAAACCTTATGACTCGCACTGTCAAAAAGTTATAAGATCTCATGTAGAGCCAAGCTTCTAACTCTACACGCCCTAAGTCTACAAGGCCTAACTTCACAAAATCTACTTCTTAGTCAAAATATGTGGCTTGGCCATTTAGCTACATTCAAATGAGTGTAAAGTGAAAATTTTATCCATTGTTCCTAACTTTTCTGTTACACAATAATTTTTGTAGTAAGGAAACGATCAACTATGATGTTTTTGTGCAAAAGCTCTTTTCGAAAAACAATGTATTACCTCTTAAATCAATTGGGAATTCATGTAAAGGAATTAAAAATCGTTATGGAAATTAATAATGAATATTTACTTTGAACACGCAATATGTATTTCTACCCGAAATTTGTAAAATAAAAAATTGTAACAGTTGAAGCAGATTTTCTACATTTCGATTCAACTAAAGCTCGATTTTACCCATAGATAAAAGACAAAATATTAACGTCAATTTGACATTATTCTATGAGCTAAATCTCTTTTTAACCGACTTTAAAAGGAGGAGGTTCTCAGTTCGTCATTTCACTTTTTTATTGTTGTTCACGCATATCGCCTTGATTTGTGGACCGATTTTGATGATTCTTTTTATGTTTGGGAGTGTTTGATAGCAAGATTCTCCCATATTAATTTAATGAAGATCTGTCAAATACTTTCGGGGATAAACAACGGAACTTCTGAAATACCAACAGTACACATATCGTGTTTGGTTATTTTACGAAATATAAAAGATCGCATGTCAGATATCTATATTTAGTAAGTTAATGTTGCTCTGGCTTATAAACCGTGAAAAATAAAAATTTAAAAACCCCACTTCATAAAAACAAATGCATTAAAAAGTAAGAGATAATGCATAATCCTTACTCATATCTATATCACACACTTAAAGTGCATATGCATTATTTCATACCATTTAGTGGTTTTGTATTTCTTAAATTGAGATTAACAAAATTACTGCAAGTGGACCTAAAATAGATAACAAGACAACCGTCATAAATAAAAACATTGTGATGAAATTTAAAGTTATTTATAATTTTTGTTACAGTGCTTTAGATCAACAAGCAAAAGAAGAAGCTGCAAAGGCTGAAGCACAGAAAAATAAACCACAAACTGGTTATTACCCCAACCAACCCACATATTATCCCAATCAACCGACATACTACCCAAACCAGCCTTCTTACAACCCAAACCAGCAAACATACAACCCAAACCCAACCTACTACCCCAGTCAATCTTCTTATGGTAAATAGTTACCCGCATAGACAATGATGTTGAATTACTGGACACTAACTGATTGTATTAAAAATAAGATGTGTTGAAAAAGTATCAAGAAATTAATTTATTTTGTGACGCGTAAGTACATTTTTTAATAAAACTTACCATAACGGAATTTCTTGATACTTTAATAGAAAAACCTGATAATAGGCACGTTAACAACATTACCTCTTAATAATATAGAGTTACAAATTTGACAGTCATCTTGTTCTTATTAAATATTTGAGAACTAAAATACTGCTCGAATTTCAATGGTTGTGATAAATGTTAATAGCCGATAATTACTTATTTACTATACGCGATTACAGTATACGATAGGTAATTAAGAATAAATGTGATGATTTTATAGAAAAAACAAAGTATTTTATTTTATAGCTTATTTCTAGGCTACAGTGCTCGTTTTCATTAAAGCTACTGCGTTGCACGATATGCTCGCTGTTATTAGCTGCGGGGATTTTTAAAAAGTATTGGACACGTTTTTTTTTTATTTTTTACGTAATCAAAATATTAAATAGACAAATTAATTTGTAATGACACATGATATCAACCTCCGTGGCCGAGTGGTTTGTACGCCTGGAAGAATCCCTAAATGGGGACCCCGCCGACTTGGCATTAAGGAGCGTAGAAGGTATTCGCAGGGTTTTTTAGCGGATGTTATGCCGTAAAACGCCCGTAAGAGTTGCGGGATCCTCGGTGGGAGCCACTGGGGGGTTCGTAAGACTTGCGGGAGCCAGGTGTGAGGCGGTGTGCCTCTTAAAGGCGCCGTTGTCTGTAAACAGTATTTTTTGCCTGCGTAACAAAAAAAAAAGGTTTCAAGGTGACGCCTACTCGAGAGGTCCCCGGGTTTGAATCCCGGTGGGGGCAGATGTTTGTATGATAAATACGAGGATTTGTACTCCAGTCATGGATTTTTAATATGTATTTCTTTATGAATATACTTATATATGTATCAGTCTATGTATTCTAACCGTTACCCTAGTATCCCATAACACAAGCCTACAGTGCTTACTTTGGGGCTAGGCTAATTGATGTGAGTTTTGGAAACATTTATTTATTATATCACGTTTTCGTACAATTTTTACTAAACAGTAACGTCACGAGCTTCGAACCACTCAGAGACTTCGACGCTTATTATCTTTATCATTTTTTGGTTGATTGTCAAAAGAAAAAATAAGTGTCCATTATTTTTTGATAATGTAACTGACGGTTTACCCCGTCATCATCCCATTGAAGGCTCCAAAGTTACTTCATGGTCGCATACGACCCGCTATGTACGAATTATGCCGACCGACTTAATGAATTATTTTAAAGCAAGCTACCTACGCGGGCAATATATCCAAGCCGGATTTTTTTGCGTGTGCCGGGCGTCATCGCCCACACATTCTTCTATTGCATGTACTTAGGTTTCAGTGAATGCTATAGATACTATAGCAGATTAATAATATATTCTACATCATTAAGCATCATTTTCTAAAACGAAAGAGATTCTGTAATGTAGGCATGCTGCTCTTAAAATCCCACATACCCTCTCGATAAATTCTGGACTTCTTCGTATCTTCATTCTACATTAAGTATGCTTTAAATCGTAGTGTCCATTGAACGAATAATGTTATTTGGGGAACGATACTTATACGGAAAGAATTAGATTGATTGAAAATATATGTAGATGCATGTGCTTATTTGTACTTACTCACTAAGTCCATATTACACTGAATCATTGCCAATGTCCTTTTGTAGCAATTAGATAGGTTCGCACGTACGACTTTTTGGACATTCTAATCAAAGGAACAAGCTACGCCCACTACTGAGACAATTGAGTGCTTGCCTTTTTCATCAGAGGTAAAAGAGGCATTGATATTACGTGCTTGTCCTTTTAGATTGACATTGACATATTTTTTAAATTTGCAACAATTTTGTCAATTTAGACAATATTTACCCACTTCACACTTGGCAGCTATAATGTAAAGATGTACATTATAGCACGATACATCTAACTTCTATAGAATTTTTCTATAGAAATTGTCAGGAGGGCACTCATGAGAGCTATAATGTATATTTTTACATTTTCGTATCTTAAGATACAGAGCGATACAAGAGTATACATTTATACAGCTGGAAAGTGTCGTCCTGTTGTGTGTGGTACTTACAAAATAATTTAAAGCTATATATCTCGGGATATAATGGCTGCCGTTTGAGTAGTGCCTTAAACAAACAAAGTTACATATCCTACAACCGCACATTCGGCCAATCCATATTTGAAAGGCTGGCGAACAAAACGGTTTAATTACATAAAATTAAATTTTACAGGAGCTGTATAAAACTGAGAACCATACCTCCAGTGAGCTTTTGGCATAGTTTTTAATCTATAAATATAGTTATTTTAACACTGTTTTAGGCGGTTTTGATTAAAAATTATTTGAGATTAAAATTCAACGGGCCTGAAATCTCCGGACTGTAAAAAAAAGTAGTTTGTCCAGATGCTTAATTATACCATTTTGTTCGCCAGCTCTTCATTTGATTCACTCTTATAATACTTCATTCCTTTTCCTTTACTACTAGCTTCCTTTACTGAGACTAAAAAGAAACCCCTGATTTAAAAAAAAATTACAAGTAAAACACAACAACAATTATTTATTTTGGTAACTTAAGGTTTGCGTTGCAAGTAATATATTTATTCCAACAACTGCGAACTATGTTTATCTATTTGTCAACCTTTATCTGCAATTGTTAGTTCCCCAGTTTCCAAGGATTTGTGACAGTTCTCTTGGACTTACATTATGCCTGCGTGGCGGCTTACTGTATCATTATCATCTGGCTACTTGCCATTTCAGCATCGTTCTTCCTCGCAAAATATCTGCGATAAGTTCCGTGATCAGCTAAATGTAGACATATTTAAATAAAAGTGGTAAAGTTAAGAAATTTTCAAACCAAGATATGTGTTCAAGCCTTTAATTACAATAATTGTCAGCACTAAAACCAAGTATGCAGATCTTTTTAATCACTACTCTTATAATACAACGTAAACTTTGCCATTAGAATCCCATCTGCGAATGACCTCTATTAAAGAACCTGCGAAGAAGACGTCGTTTGAGTTCGTTAGCCTTAACGTTTAATGAACAGATATAAAAATAAACTATAATTTTCAAATAAAAACCAGATATGCCCGTGAGAAATGCTGCACAAAAAAGGTGCATATAGTTTCGTTTATAAATTTTGACCTATCGTTGCTGTTAGTTAGCTAACATCTTGGTGATCTTAGGGATCCTTGGAAACCTCAAGTTAAGTGGAATGCTTAAGTAGGTAGCAAGTTACTAGACAAACGGGGAAATGTCATTCCCATTTACCTTTCAAGTCAGATAGCCTTGAAACAACTAGAACACACTTTTAATGGGTTAAATTTTAGCTCAAGTTCGCAGTGAGAAAGAGAAAAATTATTTGATGTTCCACCGCTTTTTAGGCAACACCTGCAGACACTGAATCTTGACATGCATGATTTCTATCATTGACAGAATATTGTTGTAGTTATTCCGGCCAATGACAGCACCCTCTCTGGTATAACGTAGTTTTCCATCCTTGCCTGCTTAACTCGTTTACCAAAAACATGGCAGTCTTTCAACCCACACAAAAATAAACACATACTCCGATTTTGTGTATTTTACACAAAATCGGGAGTTTAATGTTCCTAAAAGACCTATTGCACATATAAATGATCACAATTAAGTAATTAAACAGACCGTTGAAACTAATTCCAAATAAAAAGATTGAAGTGGGAACAAAAAAATGCATATCCGCTTTTTAATTGGGTGTCATGTCTTTGTTATCAGATGAATTAAGTATAAGGTACAGTGTTAAAAATGCTTGGGTTTTTGCGAGGGTTCATTTAATAAATTTACTGACGATGAATAAGAAAATGTAAATATGTTAGTTTATAATGTATTTGAGGACCTGAATTCATATCAATGTATATGCGTGTCAATAAACGCTTCATAATTCGAATACAAAATTTTCCTGAGTAAAATCTGAGTTCTGTAGTGGTAATCTTGGACATCTTACTGGTCCAAGTTCTATTCTCTGTTTTTAATAATATATCTTAGCATAAGATGTCTTGTGTTTCGTGACGAAGCTGGCCACCACAACAATGACTAACTAGAGTCGAAGTCCGAGTCTCAGAGATCTAGGTAAGCCGAACCTCTCAGGTTCGAGTGGTCTAGAGGCTCCAGATAGAGAGGAGACCTCCACCTCTAAAGGTATTCCAGGCTGGGCCTGGAATATCTTTAGAGGCTCTCGCCATTTCTCTGCTGGTTTGTCCCTTTAGGATCTCGCCGTCCCCAAACCTGGTGACGCTATAAAAGTCATGTGCGATGCGACCAACAACATACACAATTAAAAAAACGAAGCTGGAGGTTTCTTTGCCAAATTCCAACCCAGAAAATTAAGCAACATTTAGATATTTATGTATTACCTACAAACATGGATGCTGTGTGTAAAAAATGCAAATATTATGTTAATTATGACTCCCTAACGGACACAAGGCACTATTGTATAAGTTTGTCATAAATTAAATTAAATGGAATCCGGTTATTTTTATGAGAAATGTAACTGTATACCGACCACTCTATAATACGGGTCCTTAACCTTTCCTCTAAAAAGGACTATTTCAGCTTTCGTTTATCATTTATGTAGGTAAATACATCTACGTTCCTGATTTTTACTTTATTAAGCGTCAGAAACACAATACCAGCAAAAGGAAAATGTTGTTTCATAGTGGTCTATTGTAAGGTGAAGGTTACTTCTCTATGAGAACGCTCTTAATATGCATATTACAAGCTTATATGTATTATCACATATACATGTTATTCTCGTTTAATAGAATGACTTTAGATAACATAATTATAAAACCAGAAAAGATGTACATAAAGTATTACCATTGTTTTAAACTTGCGTTAATCACAAAGGACTTTAACACGGATTAAAA